CGAGGTAAGTGGACAGTAAAGGTTTTTATGTTAATAAACGAGTTTATTATAAATTATGCTCCATTGGTCATTTTTGTTTTCTACCCACTTTTATTTTCATGGCGGTGAGATAGTGTGATGTCTTTACTGGGTTGGTGTAGTTCATTCCTTATTTAACCATTTCATATCAAGAATACGTTGTTCCCGAGCCCGTTCCGCAGGAAGACGGGGAAGGGGACGCCTAAAGACTTCATAGTTATATCTATAGTTCTTATTTCGAGTATCTCTTTTAGTTAGTTTGTTTTTTCATGTTTTGAGTACGTTTTGGTTATTGTGTAAGGGATGTTAATCAAAATTTTTATTACGCTTCCGCATTTGAGATTTTTAATACATACATTTCATTTAAATTTTCGGGGCCGTTACATTATATACACTAATGATTATGTGAAATTTAATTAGTAATTTTCAATTTAAGTTTTAGCTCTTTCTGTATGTACTTGTATTTATTTTTTACATTTTACTTAAACAAAAATACTACTTTCTTTAACTTTTTTAGACATTTATGTTTTAAATCATTAAATTAAATTTTTTTATTATATATGATAATAATTTTATATATGAATCTAATATACAACTAATATAATCAAATAGCTGGTAATTTAATTTTAAATTATTGATTTATTAAAATTTGATTCAAAATAAAAATTAATTGATCATATAATAAGAATGATTAGTATGTTGAATTCACATCAGTTATAACAAAAAATATACAAAAATTACAAATTTTTAATAGTTTTTCAACATTATGCAATTATTTGATATGAATATTTTAATAAAAATATTTTTTTTAAATTTTTCTATACTAATCGTGGAAAATTTTAAATTGCATAATTTTTTTATATCTCTGATATTAACCTTACTCTAGGTCATTATTTTTCAACATTAGTTTTATTTACTCCTTTTTAGTATGATCTGAATCTTTGTTATTGTTTTTTATTGACACTACTCTTTCGAATACTTCATCATTTGATTAAAATTTCTTTGTATTTTTCAATTTATATTTTGTATCTTTTGTATCTACATTTTCTTAATCCCTAATAATTTTTTTTTTTTTTTTGCTTCTTGCAACTTCATTCACATATCAATAGGGTTTTCTAGTTCATTTTATGGGCTTCTTGTCTCTATCTTATTTCTTATATATTCCTTACATGGCATGTTCTTGTTGTAGATGATAGCCATTATTTGTCTTTAATTTTTCACTCTCTCAAGAAAGCAAACTGCAAATGGGTGAATTGAAAATCAATTTGTTAACAAAGTTAGTTAAATTGTTGAATTGGAGACTAACTTACAAACAAAAAAGACACTAACCTATGAAACATAGAAGCTAGCTTATGGCGAGCCATGTAGTTGTGGGTGGTAAATTCCGATTATTCGCATGTAAACGAGAATAGATGTAAATGATTTTATGCGTATTAGTAGCATCAACTTCAAAATAAATTGTTAACAATAGATTAAGTTAGGTGATATGATGAGAAATATTGATTTTTGTTACGTAGGAAATGAAATTTAACTTAATAGGGTATGTTAAAAAATAGACTAACCCGTTAATATTTTCTTCCTTCATATTCATGTTTGTTGTGATGGGAAAGATAGATAAATAGATATATATATATATATATATATATATATATAGAGAGAGAGAGAGAGAGAGAGAGAGAGAGAAAAGGGAGAGAAGAGAGAGAAGAAGAAATAAAAAATTATAATATTTAATATGTAATTTAAATAAAATATATTTATACATATATCTCATCTTTTATCTCTATGGTAGTTATATACATACATTAAAAAAAATAAATGGTTACATTATTAGTTACGCGTTTATAATTTTGATAGACTTTTAATATTATTGTGAATAAGGGTTAATTTAAAAAAAAAAGTTAAAAATATAAAATATAAATAGATAAAAAAATATAAAACTTAAAGTAGAAAAACGAAAATAATAAGTGTTTAAGCCTTATAAGATATATTTTTGTATGTTCTTTGGGTGATATATAATAAATAAGTGATGGCTTCTCTCATATCATTTTCTTAATATAAAATGTGTTCCCAAACAATTCCTTTCATTTCTTAAAGCAAACACATAATATATTGGTGCATTTATTATATATGGGTCAATTGCCAAAAAGAATAATTATGATATTGCATTATGGAAAACAGAAATTAAAAAAAAAACAAAAAAAAAAAACATGATTGAAAATTTTTGTTGTAGTAAAATTGTGAAGGAGAAAACTTGTTATACTTTTGGAAAAACTTCTCCCCAAATATGGTAGGAATGAGTATAATTATTTCAAAAACCCTAAAATTAAAAAAAAAAAAAAATCCTAATAATTGAGAAAATCAAATAAAATCCTTTTTTCATTGAAAGAGATAAAATATATTACAGAACACCACAACACAACATCTAATTGTTGATATAAAAACAAAAAGAAGAAATTTCTAATATAAAAAATTCAACTCTTCTTACACATTCAAATACTCATTTATGTTGACAGCGAACACTTTCAAATACACTTCACAAACTGACATCTCCCAAAACAAATTGCTCAAAATAAGAATTCACAGTGCATTTTTCCTTTTCAGGTAATTTCTTTCAGGGGCATTTTATAATTTTGTAATTCTACAACTTATTTAGACTCAGATAAATAATTCATAAGAATTTTAAATATTTAGACTGTATAACTCTATTTTACAAAAATTTAAGTTACCATAGACACCTCTAAAAAGTGAATTTATTTCACTCAATAAGTGTTATGTCAATTAATATTGGCTTATCCTACATACTTGAATGTTGTTCTCGTCCAATATGACCATACTAGATGACATGTTTGTAACATTTGTTTCAATATTATACTAGATACTTGAATGTTATTATGAAGAGGCTACAATTCTAACTAAAACCACAGTTTCAATAAAATTATGATTCAGCCAACCAAATATGATAGTAGGAGTACTTAGTGTGCTAATCATTAATTTCTATCATAGGTTAATAATTTAGGAGCCAGAAAGCAAAGGTTGCTGTATAGATGGATGCATACCACAAGAAGCTAAGTTCTTATAGTTTGTTTTTGAGGAACAATAATTGCACCACAGGGTAAAAAATGAAGTAAACAAATAATCTTTTTTATTACGTGAATTATAAGAATCAAAAATTAGAAATCTTTCAACGAGAAATACTAAGTTATGACACTAGTTTATCCTATACAACCAATTTCCTTATCTTACAATACACAAAAGTTGGCCTAGGTCTGAATTCAGCTGCCAAAGACGTGCACAGAACAAAAAACTCAAACAATAAGTAGATGACAGGACACAAACCTCAAAATGATTAGAGGAAAATTTCTTTGAAATGCCAATGCATTTAACCGAATATCATATAAACTATACCAAGAATGTTACATCTGACTGGAATATTCTTTAGCAATGTCCAGTCAGGAGTTGTCCGTTGATGAACTCATGATTTGTATCTGTAAGTGCATAAAGAGAGAATCTTAAAAAATAATAATATAGTAAACCAAATGGAAGCCATGCGAGCACAATGTAAGTAACACGGGTGAAAGGAGTACCTTGTTCACCAGTAAGTTTACTTGCTCCCTGTACATTTCTTTCAAGTCTACAATATCGGCACGGAGTTCCTCCAGCTAGACATGCAACCACTTCCAAAGGTCAGGACATTATAGATACTAACATTAATACAGTATGTTCTAATTTTCACATTGAATTCAGTCAATAAAAAAGGAAATTTTTAGAACTAAATGCAGCTTCAATCTCACAACCATATCACTCAAGCTTTACTTCCTTTGTCCTAGTTATGTTCATAATAATTGCAGTGGGAAGGTCATTGTGGTATTAAGCCCTGACTTCCTTTCTTCCATGCCTTTTTTTTACAAGTCTAACTTCTTTATATTGAGCACATGCAATGTTTTACTGTTTTAGAAATACTTAACCTGCAAACTGCATATACATCTTCTAGCAAAAATATTAACATTCACCATAATTATGGTTGTAAAATTATTGATGTTAGTCAGAAGTAAAGGTAAAAGAGGCCAATAACCATTTAAAATCTTTACAAAGTCAGAAGTAAAAGAGGCACAACTTCTGGTAAAACAAAAATGAAAAAATAAAGCATACCACTATTGCTATTAATCATATGGAAAGTATTTAAAAAAAAGAAAAAGAATAAAAGCAAAAGCAAAGGAGATTGCTAGGGTTGATAAAGCCTTATGTTGTGGTACAAGATTCCAATAACAGTTTGATATTTTCACAAAAGCATAGGAGAAATGGATAAAGATTTTTAGCAGGCACTGATCACCAGCCAACACTTTAAGTGCAGTAAGTGAACTCATCACGGTATTATAACAAGAATCTTGACCACTATATAAAATCTAATTAGTCATCCAAGATATCAATAGCAATTTGTTTCCATATTCAATGAGATGATATTTTTATTACATGGCTTATCTTACATATACCATAACCCATGTGCTCTCCCAACAGCTGGCTGAAATTTTTGTCTCAAGAGAGAGAAGCCAAAGTATAAAAATATATGTACCTCCTCATCACGTTCACCCATCAGCTCAAGAGCAGCAGAATGCCTCCTCCTGAGTGCTTCAAGCTCTGCTCGGATGCTTGGCAGCATCGTAGCCTCAGCCCGTAACTTTTCACACTGCAGCCAATAAGAGAAGAACCTGAAGATGATTAGAAGTCGAATTGATGCAGGGCTATCTAGCATAATTTTTCTACCGTATTACAAATATAGAGTTACTATATCTTTAACATGTTTATAGGTCAGAGTTTGTCATTTGTTTATATTCCTCTATTACCCTGCTAGAATACGAGTCAACATCATAACATTCAGTATAATGTGCTACTGGACAAGTTGTTTTTGTTCTAACCTAGCAAAAATTTCGTCTTAGGTAAAATTTTATGCAGGAATTATACTTTAAACCAATATTACTCAAAAATACCCAATTCTATTTCCAGAGCTAAGCTACTTCCACAACCCAGGAGAAATCACAAGAGTCTGGTGTAGCCCCAAAATCTATTCACTTTCCATGAATCTCGCACAGTCCTAAGGCCCAGGAGCAATTCTGAACCAAAGCAGTCACAGAAATCTGATGCAGCCATGCAAATCATGAGAAGTTATAAGATGTCAACATGGTCTGCAAACCCACAAAGTCTCGAAACTTAGGAAGTCGGAATGGTCTGGGGTAGAAATTTTCATTGCTCAGATAAGGCTGGGATCAGGAATCCTAAAGGCCCAACTCAATTCTTCAAGCCTATGGTTCTAACCAAGCTCAATCAGAATAAAATTAGCAATTCCGAAACCCGTTCATTAAGCTCACACTATTTAGCAAAAACAAGTTTATGTTGTTTTATACATTTATATTTTTTAATAATCCACGAAGTTATTTAATGTGCTCCTATTTTTGAGGTCTTCCTCTTGGCAAATTTGCATTTTCTTTAAATCTGTTTGAGCACTTTACAGTGAAGAGTACGAGTTTATTTGTGCTTCCACTACAAGTCTTCTACCTTAGAAACTTGCTATTTTAGGTTGATTAGGTTATTCGATTAATTAGTATTAGGCCTTTTCCCTAGTCTTTTTCTCCTCATAATCAAGTAAAATCAAAACAGCACCAAAAGAAAAAATTCTTTATTAGTTTTCCCACCAATTATCTATCCCTTTACTATTTACCTACCTACAATTATACACTCAACCCTACTTTATATCAGTCTCTCTGTTATGCATGCATGACAGAGAAATTATAATTAA